ATGTATATCCACGTTGACAACTAATATTGTATAAAAGCACGTGTTCAATATCTTTAACACTATTCATTATTCGATAAAAAATAGTTCAAATGATCATGCCGACTATTTACGCATATGTATATATCACACACACCCCACCAACCCACCCACATACACACATACACATACACCTCCAAACTTACCAACCCACTCATTTATATATTGTGATTCATTAACTTTCACTATCTTGTTTGCTTACTCTCTCGCTTGCAAGTTCGCTTGCGAATAAATTATCTTAACTTATATTGACGTTAATAATCATAATCATAATCATAATAATAACACTAAAAGTCACAACATACATGTACACATTCATGGCATATTACACACACACACACATGCACACACATTATATATATCTATACACAGGTGTGTATAATACAACTTGAATTGGCACAGGTGTACCATATTTATTATGCATTGAATTATATACACAAGAGTATAAACTCAATATCTTAGAGACTATTTGTAATCATGGCCATCTTGATAATAAATATTAAAACAAACTATAGTAAAGTGACAACAATTGAAATGACTTGACGAATATTCAATCACTTATTACCTCCCTCCCACTCTCATTCTTTCGCTTACTCAATCATTCATTTACTTAATCACTATATTGTAAGTAGAATAAAATTCATAAGTTGATAGTTAATAATATAATTGAATGAAATCAGAATTTAATTCGAATAACCAATATAATAATGATATTGTTACTAGGCTTTCTGTTACTGACGTAAATCAAATAAGTAATTTTAATCGTTAATATCATGAGTCAATTGAAGTGAGATGATCATGGGAAATCTGGAAGAACTAGATGGCTGTTTTGTTATAGTATAGGACTCCTCAGTAGTGCGTCGCGAGATTTGAACTCACGACCTATCAGTCTCGCGTGTAAGTGTTTAAGCATTTGACCACTAAGCTGGCTGGCATTCAACGGTGTTAATGTCTAACTTCAACTAATCCACGAAATTGAGTGACATATTAGTAAATTGATTCATTAATCATTAAGATCATAATAAGATATTCTTTGTCACAATTGATTGATCATTGGGTGGTGATCAACCCATTGTGATTACATCTCAGTCGTACAGGAGGTCGGTCGCGGGAACGAATCTGTCAGGGAGCACCAGTTCCCTCAAGATTACAGGTACACCTTGCTGACAAGTGCCAAGTAGCACTAAACCCGGATTCAAGGTTTCCTATTGACTACCTCCAACAACCATTTAATAAGATATACTTTAAGCATTCATAATTATTAATAGAGAAACTTAAATTGGAAACACTCAATTTAATAAAAATGTGGCACGATTGATGAATTGAAAAGATAACAGGTAGATTAGAGAAAAAAACAGATTAAGATATGTGATATTAGTGGATTACTTAAGTGTGACACACGAGGTTCTAAGTTCGATCCCCTGTAGTGATAGAGCAATGACAAATTAATTGTAATGATCCTCTTTTTTGAAAAAAAAATATTTAACCACTAGTTGAATGGTTGTGACTAACTATGATATCCAGATTGTATATTTCAGCATATTTTCAACTTGTTAGTCCAATGTGCCTATATCCCAATGTTTAGCTTCACGCTTAAAACGAATTGGTAACGACAATATCTGGAAAACAGTAGCTCAATCGATAGTGTTGACATTTGAGGCGCCTGGTGTTGAGTTTAACTCTGAGATATACATGCATCCTGTAGCATACTGCTAATCCCAATCTAAATATATCTTCACTGTTTATTTTAGCCTAGAACTGTTCAATACAATTACAGTTCTGTATGTTTACTAAATACACATTTTAATGCATCATGTTTTACAATGATCAAACGTTGGACACATTGTTTTGTTTAGTTACCATGGTGTCATTGATAGTAAATTTCTACTTACTGATTACACCATCATTATTGTTTTTATCATTTTATACGAAATGGTTGCTCCAAAATAGTTTATCACTAATAAAAATGACATCATAGATAACAAGAAATGATTAAATGATCATTTAGAAGTGTACAAATGTTCTATTCTGCATTAGTCATTCAGTATATGTGACATACATTGAAACCTTAAATGGAAACTTTTTTTCAAATCTGGGACAAGTCATTGATGTTACCACGACCTTAAGAGATGCCATCTAAGACTATACAACAGTACAGTATATTAAGATTCCAAATCGTATAATCCAATATAGATTTTTATTATGCTTAATAAATGATAGTTTATCGAGTGTTATCAATCACTGTTCACTAAATTCAGTTATATGTAATGTAGAATCTAGCACTTATGTGAATTAGTTCAAGTTACAATAATATATCATCGTAATGATATAATTCCAATATCAGTGGTAGCAGAAATGAATGCATCCATGATATGTCATTCAACGTCTCCAACAATTTGTTTACAATAATCGTATGGATCCTAAACCAGATCGTTTGAACCCTATTTACATGTCGGTGTATTGGTTTATTTTTTTATCGCCTCCTGACTAATTTCAATCTTCTCCTATATTGAATAGTTTAGTTTAATGTCTAAATGAAAAGAAGTTCAATAGTCAAGTTGGTTATAAATTCAGTATATTAAGAGATCACTTCAATGAATGAATAGATTATTGATGGTACAAATAGAAATGTTGAAGATCACTAACTAGATTACTAATTTGATCGATAGAAATCATTCAGTAAGCACTCGAGAACTATAATAATCGAATAAATATGATTGTTTTATTTCTTAATAAGTTATTTGTAAGTTCGAACCGCACTGAGTATATTCCCTATGAAATATGTATTGATGGCACTGTCCAGGAGAACAATCAAAGTTTCAACAATCAAACTATCCAACTCAAAGATCACAACACTCCCAATATTCACACATAGAGAGCTATAAATATTTCCCATGATTAGTATATTTTTTCACACTCACCCATACACACGTCAAACACACATACAGTTCCATTTAAAGTCGGGATCAGGATTTGATACATTTTAAATCTTCTTTATATTCCATAAATTTACTACGTTTTATGTGATTGATTAATGTCAGAATGGGGATTTGTGGAGACTGTAATAATTTTATTAGTTGAATACATGAGTTCATCTAAATTAGACTAGCACTGAAAACCTGGAAGCACTGAATGGCTATTTCGTCTTAGTATGAAACTCCTCACCTGTTTGTATCGGCCATTCTGAACGTTTTCATGCCTGAGACCGAAGGCTCTAAGTTCGAATCATGCGTGCGAATTGTGGGTGTACGTTTCTGAGTCCCATACTATGATGAAACAGTCATTCAATGCTTCCAAATTTTCAATGGTGATCTAACTTAGATTTACTCATAAATTGATTAATTATTGAAAAGTATTTTTCTTCAGTCTTAGTTTCAATATTTCGACCAATAAAAATATAAAAAAATGATGAAAGTTTAACGTTAAATTTAAAAAACCACTCAATTTTATTCCATCCCCCCCCTTTAATACTCGGATACTAACCCTTCAGTTCTCATATTTTTAAATCCAATTTAAATAATACACTTTATAACAAAAAATTGAAGTGTTCAAATACAGAATAAAAGACAGAATTCAAATATATTCGTATTAAGTCGGTAAGTCGATTGATATATGGATGATTTGCACCCCACCCCATCTTCAAACCTTAATCTTTCCGATTACTGTTTATACTCTTATTACCTCTACCACTAAGGGATTTTAATCGACAACTGTTTCTTTGTGCTAATACAGTATGGCAACTCGGACTGATGTACGTACATAGGAAGTTCTATTTTGTCACTGAAAGATTGATGGGTGATTTGTATTCTGATTAAATTGAGTGACGTTAACACACGAACATACACACACAACACACAAGTTCTGTCACTAATACAATAAAGTTTTCTAAACTTCTGTAAAGTTATTAACAATAACAAGTCGGTTGTTTAACGACAATAGAAAGCCTAGAAGCACTGAACGGTCATATCATTCAAATATGGGACTCTTGAGAAGTTCGTATCCACGGTCCCTCATAGCGAGATTTGAACTCAGGACCTATTGGTCTCGTATGCGAACGCTTAATCACTAGATAACTATGCCAGTCGGCATCCAATGGTGTTAATGTCTAACTTCAATCAACCAATATTCAATTCAATGTAACATATTTGATAAAATATTCCCATTAATGCCATTGTTTAATTATATCATGAGACAATTTACATAATCCTAATGAAAAGTTATGCTTAATGAAGTTCAATCATGTCAATGACATTGAAAGATGTTTATTCTCTATTATAAATTGATTAAAGTTAAACATTTACATCGTTTAATGTCAGCTCAGTAGTTTAAAATACTCTAAACGATTCACTGTCAAATCTGAAATTCTTGAATTGTATCTCTCTATAAGGATCATGAATGAATACTGCCATTGAATAATCTTACACTAAAATGAAATATCTAATCATTATTTCTTGTGAATATGATAGTAATTTCAATAATTTTGATTATGAGTCAATCGAAACTAAACTACCATAGAATACCTGAAAGTACTAGATGGCCATTTCGTCGTATTGTGAGACTCCTCAACAGTACGTACCCGAGGTCCCGTCCCGTAAAATTCGAACACAAGATCTATCAGTTTTGACCAGTGCATCACAATCAGATCTGTTGTGAAATAGTAACTTAGTGTAGTTAAGTTAAAGTTAGACATTAACACAATTGGATGCCGGTCGGCTAAATAGTCTAGAGGTAAAACGTTCACGCAAAAGACCAATAGGTCCTAAGTTAGTATCTCACGATGTGGAATCGTGGATATGCACTTCCGATGAGTCTCATACTTAGACAAAACATCCGTCTATTACTTACAGATTTTCCATGATCATCTATCTTCAATTGATTCATAATCTTAACTATTGAAATTCTGATTAGTCAATAATATAACATAGATCATGAGAAAAAAAACAAAACAAAAAACAACAACTCACTTCTGAATGGATTCATTGATTTTTTTATTGTTTCATCAAAATTCTCTTTCATATTTATTGTTCTACACAATTCTAGATCATCAATTTGTTTTAGATTATTTTTTCTATTATCATAACAATAATAAGATTTATGATCTGGATCTATTTTCAATTTAGATCTTATTCCTAAATTATGATGATTATAATTATGATTATTATATTTTGTAAAATATATTTTCATATTAGAAAATTTCTTTAATTTTAATAAAGTATAATAAGTTGAGGATGTTGATATTGATGTTGGCGGAGTCAATGTCGACGATGTACCTGTTCCTGATGATGTTGATGTAACATGATGATTCATTATAATTAATGTATGTAAATATTTACGTAAACGTATATCATTATATCGTTTATAATCCATACAACGTAAATAATGTTTAAATTGTTTAATCCATAATTTCATTTTTAATTTATATTTATTATTTTTTTGTTGTTGACTTATTATTGATGATAATGATGAAGATGTTGATAAGGGTATTGAGGGTGGTAATAATGGTGAATGAGGATAACAATTATTATTATTATCATTATGATTATTGTGACAATTAGATTCTTCGTTCGAATCTGTTAAATTTGAATTCATTGTACTATTCAACATAATTTAACAATATGATTAATAATAATTAATTCATACAATGAATTATTTATTTATATATATATATATATATATATATGTTGCGGTTAAAGTAAGAGGGTAAATTTATAAAGAATTTCCAATTACCACTTACTATCCACTAATATTCATTGTATGTATGTAACCATATATATATATATGTATATGTGTGTGTGTGTTTATGTATCCTTGGGACATAGGTTATATATGTAACGGTTATCACATATATACAATAATCTATATGTCATAATCATATATCAGGTAGTGGGAAAGGGGCGGGGTAGAGAGAAATAAGGAAAACGAATAGTTTGAGTAGAAAGTATACATGTGTTTATCCATCCTTTATATGCATATGTACCTGTGTGTGTGCGTGTGTGTGTGTATGGGTACGTGTATTATTGTCTGAGCATAACGCTTATCATAATGATAATGAAGTATTCAATAATAATAATAATAACAACAACAAAATAATTCATTTCCTTTTCATTTTTTTTTACATTTCAAAATGGTAACAACGAATAGGAAGGCTTATAATTCAAATGTTATATTTTTGGTTTTGTTTCTTTTTTTCACAAAAAAAAGTAATAACAATATCGACCAATCATATATGCAAGAGATAAATAATATTGCGAAAGATCACACACACACACACAGAGAGAGAGAGACACATCTCACCCCTCACCCTCACCCACCCCCAACTCCAATTTTTTTCATGAAATTACTGTTGGTTACATTGAAAGAAAGAAGGATATATATATATATACTCTTCAAACTACAAAAGGGATATGATGGTGATGATGATGAAAGTGTTGAAAAGGGATAAATCTATAGCGTGAGCAACTATTCATAAGATCATATAAACATATTGTATGTGTATAAACGTATATTATATAAAAATATATATGAATATTAAAAAAAAGTATATTTATTTAAATCAAATTCATACACTTTCATCTACCTGAATTAATGATCGATGTCTGTCTATCGATCAAAGTTTTTGAATTCATTAGGGGAAAGTATGGTCGATTTTGCATCCATGTCCACGTATGTATATATATATATATATATCTTAACAACTATATATGTACATCATTTATATTCATATATGAGTATATCCATATCGATCAACCATGTTGCATATATATATGTATATAAGGAGAGAGAGAGAGGGAGGGAGACAGAAAAAGGGAGGAAGGGTGGAATCGAATTTTTAGAAATTTTTCTCTTAGTATCAATTATTTTTAAACTAAAATCTAATTGTTTAAATAAAATTATCCTTTTAAATAAAATAAAATACGTTGATAGTGTGACAGAAAAAATTTCACACACAAACACATATTACTTACTTACTTACGCCTGTTACTCCTCATGGAGGAAGGAGTATAAGCAGTTCACCAGCACTCTACATCCAATTCTATCCTGGTCAATCCTTTCTAATATTTACCAGTTTCATAACCAACATTCTCTCTCTCTCTCTCACACACACACATACACACCCCCTCCCGAAAAGAAGTAAACTATAGAGAATAAATATTTTATTCTTTCTTTTTCAAAACTAGATCAAAAATATTCAAACCCCCCCCAAAAAAATTAATGAAATTTTCCAAAATTTCATTTGTTTTTCTTTTCTGTTTTTGTTTTAAAATATAGAAAAAAAGAAAAGAAGTCTCCTATATAGAATGATTAATTCATGACTGATTATAAAAGTTAAATATATTAATATAATAAGAATGAATTTAAAATAACCGCGATGAATTTTTAGCTGTTTTTTAACCAATCAGAAAACAGCTTTTAAAAATAAACCGATATATTGATAGTTGATCATAAGGGAAATATTAATATTAAAATGTATTTTTATATTATAAATCTAAATAATAAGTAAATAGATTCTTATAGAATGAGATTTTATATCTGTAATCTTCTAATATAACCTAAACTGATATTGAACAGTTACTGTATTGTTGGTTGAAAGGATCATGTATTTAAGGTTAAGATTAAAGATTTAGAACTGATATTCATTTGAATATAGATGTCATGTGTAGCTAGTTGAATGAATGAATGAATGAATGAATGAATGAATGAATGGATGGATGGATAGATGGATGGATAGATGGATGGCTGAGTGAATTCCTATTAAAATTTCAAGTAAAACAACTTGATTAATTCATTAATGAAATGTAATGTCATCAGGTTAACGTACATTTAAGGACTTGGGAATGATATTGACTTGTTCAAACAAAATTCACTTTCTATTTATTAAAAAATATTTTTAATCAGTCTATTAGAATTTCGCATAAAAATTCAGGACCTAATAGCTAAGTAGATAATACGATGACAGTTGAAATGAACGGTAATGGGTTCGAGTCCCGGAGGGAACATCAACTTTGAAATCCAGGTACATTCAGCTGACGAATTCCATCTTTTCTTGTGACTTAAGGTAATATCAAGGTAATCCGCACAGAATGTACATATGCCCATAAGAGAAAGATGAATTACAGTCCTTAAAACTAATGGGAAGTTTCAAGTAAACAACATCAAGTGAATATAAATTGTTTTTATTTATGTCTAGACATCTTTATGTAATGAATAATGAATTGTCCGTTTACCTTATTTTTGTTCTTCACTACTCTAGATATTATCTAAATATTCATTGTAGTTTGTTTTGGTACACAGACCTCTGAACTAGTATGTTACATATTTATAAATATATTATGATTTAAGTTAATACTATTAATATACATTGGTTAGTAAACTTTAATTGAGATCATGAATGGATTAATGTTAGATCGCCATTGAAAACCATAAGTCACTGGATGTCGGTTTTGTCCTAGTATTGGACTACTCAACAGTGCGTATCCACGACCCCATAAAAAGGATTCAAATCCAGGACGTTCTGTTTCACACGCGAATGCTTAAACTGTAGACTACTGAGCCGACATAAAATGGTGTAAATGTCTAGCTTTAACCGATCATCACTCTTTATTTGATATTTATTTATAACTTCACATGTATTTCTGTGTTGCAAATTTGTGCTTTCTCAGCGAAATACTCTGGTATAAGGTTTAGTTCTGTAATGAACAAAGACTTGGGTGGGGATAACAAATGTATTTTTGAAGTAAAATTACATAATATGAGAACCATTCATTTACAAATTTCCATCACATGTCCTTCACGGACTGTATGATTCTTCCCGTCTATAATTCTTTTCTATTCTCTTTGACTCAATATTTTTAACCATATACTGTTGGAATTTCCACTTTAGATTAATGTCATATAGTACTTATGTCACATGCTTTTGTGATTAAAATAATCGAACTTTTTTTATTACAAAAAACACATGAATGTCCGATTCATCATTCTTCTGACAAATTGTCGTCTTACACTCCTGTAGAAGAAATTTTTTGAGGTTGGTAATTAGTTCGTCTCATTCTTTATTTTGTACGAAATTTATACTCCTAATGAAGAGGAATACACTCTGTGAAGAATCAGTCTAAGTTAACCAATAATATTACATAAACTACTACTGTGATGTGTTCTACTGATGTCAGCAGATATAAGTAGTATGCATCTCCAATCGAAAGTGAAATACATGGCGGCAGAAGGTTAAGAAGATCGACGAGAGGAGAACGAAAACAGAGAATGATTGGTATGAAAACGAATAAACAATCAAGTCTGAGACAATTTATTGACATTTTAAAATGAAGAATTTACTGTATGGTTCTTAGATTTTACCAATTTATTATGTCCCAAATAGGACAAAACGCTCGACTAGCCACTATCCATCTTTTTCTATGGGGTTTATAGCTTGATTCAAACTACACATTACACACAACGCCAATAAGAGGCTGATCAAATGCAGTCCTAAACAACAATGAGAAGATTCAAGTAAACAATACCAAGGAAATTACAATTGATTAGTCATTGCGTGGTGATCAGTGTTATGCATGTCAGGTCCTTCTGAGTGCAGATCGAATCATATCAACCAAGTTGCAATGTGGCCACTAGTCTAAGTGACTCAACGTTGAATGCATTATGTTGAGATGACATGGTGGTTGGAGGTATTCAACAGGAAATCCTGGATCTAGATCTCGTTCTATTTGACACTTGTCAGCAAGATGTATCTGTATCCTTGAGGGAATTGATGCTCCCTAACGGATTCATTCACTTGTCAACTAGCATCACAGTCAGAGATGAGCTATCCGGGCCGTGTCTAACCTCCTGTAGTACTGAGATGTATTTACAATCGACTGATCACTAGGTAATGTCATGTATGTCATATCCTGTTTAATGTAGATCGAATCTTATCGACCAAGAAATATTCTGTAATGTTGTATTAAAACACATTTGTTTTTTTATTAATTGAGATCATAGGTCAATTGAATTTAGGCCATCATGGAAAACCTGGAAACACTGGACGCCTGTTTCTTCCTAGTATGGGACTCATCAGCAATACGTATCGATGACACCACCTCGTTAGATTCGAACCCAGGAACCATCAGTTTCTCACGTGAGCGCTTAATCACTAGACTACTGAGACAGTCGGCATCCAATGGTGTAAATGTCTACCTTCAACTAATCCACGAAGTAACCCCACCGTCTACCATTGTCATTAGTGTGTTACTACATCACAACAGACCCGGTTGAATCTCACGAGACAGGATCATGAATGCGCACTGCTGAAGAGTTCCATAATAAGACGAAACGGCCGACCATTGCTTTCAGATTTCCCGTAATAGTCTGGCTTCAATTGACTCATGATCTCAACCACTAAAATTACTACCATCTCCACAAAACCCCTTCTGACATTTGGTTTTCTCAATCTTTGTTCTCCTTCACAACACTACTACTACTACTACTACTACTACTACTACTACTACTATTACCATTACTCATATGAATACTGTTTACTATTTGGCTTTCCTATTTCATTTTCTTAATTGATTCTAGTTTCTTTCTTTTTTATGACCAAATACATCTCTTTCATTATTTATTTATCATGTTATTTTTAAGAAAAAAAATAATTTCATGATTTCATAATTTTTAAGAAGATAATAAAAC